AGAAACTAAAGCTAGTGGACATTATTACAGCCAAGGGAACAAAAAAACATAACATAATAAGTACTTCAAAGTTGTTTATTCAGTCTGAGCACTGACACGCTTCAGGAGTCACTTGCATTTATAGCACAGACAAAGCTCATACATGTGTACTTCTCTGGATCTTAGGACTATAAAAAGTTCATGACCTAGCAGTATTTTAAGGAACTGTTTTTACAGAAAGAGAGCTATATTATGAGTTGGCAAAGCTTTACATGAAAAAATACATTTCACTTGGTTACAAAACAATAGGACAGCGCTCTGTGTTTTCTGCATTTCCCTCCTTTTACTTTAGAAACAAGAAGAAACCCTTGTGCATTTAAGGTACATTCTTGAAAAAAACCTATTTGTGTTCCACCAGGCATTTCAGCCAAATCTTACACCAACCCTGATAGATGCCACTACAAGCGATATGGCTAGGGAAGGGGGTTGGCCTAAATATTGTATACCCCATCTCTGAGCCTGGGACAACTATTATTCAGTATAATTCATATCAGAGCACTCTCTGATTGTCATATTTCAAGCCAAGGAAGCAAACCTTGCACAGGGCTGGTTTAGGAGTTAGGAGCCCAAGGTTATCTTTGCAGTCCCAGTCTTTCACACACAGCCCCTCAATTGTAGCTAAAGATGTGGGCTATTCCCTTAAAGAGAAGCAGCATCCTCAAACATGCTCCAACTCTGCCACCTGAACTTAAAGGCTAGGGGCAGGCATTACACATAAACCGGCTTAAGTGATCAGAAACTGGTTTGAACCTGTAACAGAACAGATGTTCAGTGCATATAAACCAGTTTGAAAATGGCTGAAACCAGTTTGAGATAAACCTGGCTGAATGCAGTATCAGACGTAACTAATTTGGCTCAAACCAGTTTATGCAATGTCTGTCCCAGACCCTTGTGCTCAGACACCCGAGACAATAGAAGCAGGCAACCGCAGATCCTTCTGGATCATAGTGTATGTGTGAGAGGTCACTAGGACTGTCAACATGTACACCTAGGCACGAGTATGGAGGAGTGGAGATGCCCAGACCTTCCATCCTCCCTTTAGACTATTGAGACAGTATCCGAAGGCCAGACTGAGTATAATGTAAATGGCATTAAAAAAAACCCTGAAAACAAAACAAAAAAACCCAAAACAGACAGTTTACTACTTTCACACCTAGAACTTTTGCTCAAAGGCAGGGGTGATGCATGGGGGGGTACCCCCTGAGTGTGGTGGTGTACCCCCTACAAAAAGGACACTGCTAGCGGCACCTGTGAGTGGTCGCTGACCCCTGGTCACCACTCGCCACCCCATCCCCCCGCCACTGACAGCGCCAGCGGCATCTGCAGGAGCTCTGTGCTTAGCGCTGCCATGCTCCTGCTGCTGCCAGCGCAACCGTCCCCCACAGCTGCTGGGGGCACGCATCATTCATGCTCAAAGGCACTGGGCCAGATTCTATTCCCCCATCATGAATCTAAGTGGACTTGAGCACCTAAGTGTGATTGTATTCCACTGGGTTTAAGTTCCTTAAAATACATTAATAGATCTCCTTTTGTAATACGCCACCATCTTACCCTTACGATTACATCACAAAAAAGCAGCAAGGAGGAGGAAATTAACTGATCTCACACTGACATTACCCCTGAACTTTTTCCTCCTTTTTAAGCAAGGAAGGTGACTCTAGTCTAACCTTAAGAGTCAAAACCAATATCTGAAATTTGCATTTATGTTGTTTAAAATAAGGATGCGAGTAAATCCAAGATGGAGCAAAAAATCCAGCCATGTTCTGTACGTGGTACACAGCCAGAAAGGCAGAACCACGTTCTAACAGAAAAAATAATTTAAAAAATGAGAGAAAGGGGAAGTGCAAGACATTCTAGCTAGGAGTGGTGGATATGAGTAGCAATTAAGTACTAAAGCACATCAAAGCTTTACAGATGACTTGTAATTACAAGCATTGTGCCTTTAATATATTTAATCTAATTTGCCTTTAAATACAGAAAAGTACAATCCAAGTCAGTTTTAAGTCACTTTTCTTACTGAATTAACAAGTTAGTCATTCTCCTAAATACAAAATGTATAGAAGCACTGAAGAAAAACAAACATGCAAACAAATAATAATAAATAAATTAACAGAAACTAAAAATAGTAATTATAATATTGCACTACTCAGAAAAATCTAACCAATTTTATTTTGCTTCCTACCAAAGTATCACCCACTCGTAAACAAACAGTTTAGATGCTAGTATGACATCAACTTAGATATTTTCCACACAGAATGCCTTGGGGTTGATAATTCACTGATAATTAATCAGTCCTGAAACACAAGAGTGAAAACTTTAGCTGTTTCAGAAACTGGAATTTTCTTCCCCTGAGCTTCCATTTCTTCAGATGAGATTTTTTTCCCCAAAAAACTTTGGATGAAAATAAAAAGCATCTCTAATATCCAAATGTATGTGCCTCAGGAATCATGCAATGTGAGTAAGATCAGTACACATGAAATTTAGTAACTTGGGGGTTTATTTCTAATTTCATGTTAATGGATGGGTTAATGTTCTTCATAGTGTCAGTGCTAACACAAATCCTATTCAATATTTAAGAGTGAAATATGACACTTAGTCCAATTTCATATAGTCATCATCAAAACAGAATTTCTTTCAGACCTTCACACTGCAAAATGCCAACAATTAAGTACTTAAAACATTGCATTTAGCCTACCAGCACCTGCTAGCATTTTAAAAAGAATTTTTGCATGGTGAATATGTGAATGTTTATTTCAGGCATATAATGAGTCACTCTCACTGAAACTGGCACAGATTAAACTCAAAAACAAAAGCAATTCCATAAACTACACACTAATAAGGCAGATACAAAGGTTCTCTGGAGTATAGTACAAAGCACAATTTAACAGCAGAATAAAGCTTGAAGCTAGACAAGAGAACTGACATCAGCACCCTTGCTAATCATAGCACAAAAGCTCCTCTATGTTTTGTCACAGTGCAAAATGAGCCCACATAAATCACTCTTTGTTATCTGAAAATATCTGGGATTCTTAAAGCTTGTTCTATTTTTAACATTTCAGTTTTTGTCGCCCTATTGAAAGCTGTATGTTGCCTCACTGAGCCCACAGAATACTGCACTATATAACGAATGAAGAGAGCTTCTTCAGTAATTGCTTTCTAAAACTTAAGTCTCTGAAGAACTGTGTGTGTGTATGTGTGCATATGAGTGAGTGAGCGAGCAAGTATTTATGCAAATGCATCCGCTTTTATTTTTCCCCTTTTGGGTATTTTTGTTTGAAGAATTTTTATCTTACTTGACAGCTGTATGGTCTGTAACATGTTGTATCCCACAAAAAGCACCAAAAATGTGAAGCTGAGTTATGCTTCAGTGATGTTACCAGAACAAACAAGCTTTGTCATTTCAATGATTTCATCAACAATGCATTTTAAGCAATTTGACGTGGGCTGTATTAATAAAGGTGAATCAGACACAGCTGAAGTTTAGCTGGAAATCAGATGAGAAAAGATGAATATTTAATAAATTATTGGTTTTCAAACTCATTCTCCCAAATATTAACCAATAAGACAGGCAGATTAATAAAACAGTGTTTGAACCCCCTCCTCCCCCGCCCCACAAATATAATAAAAATGCCCTTCTCTAGAATTATCTTTTTTTTAGATGAAATGTCCTTTATGTCTGGTTCCAAAATAGTCTACAAATCAAGCATTGATTAAGCACAGAAAATACAGTTTTTACTGTTAAAATAATAGGTAGCACTTTATATCAAGAGAATATAATTGTGCAAAAACCCTGGTGAGCTTTTAAATGCAGTTATTAGAAATGATAATAAAAAGATAAAGGAGGTATTTAAAGTAAATCAAAGACATAAGTTGTTATGCAGCAGCTAAAGACAACTTGTGCACAAGAGTGTTTATAAAACAAAAAATCATTAAAAAGTTAAGTACTTTGCCCTTTATTTCTTGTTAGGGTGGGAAAGGAAGGAGAGAAAAAAAGCACCATGAGTTATTTCAGCAGTTGTAAATTTTATGGAATATGAGTAATTCTGATTTCAAGGTAAGCAATTCAGCAGAGTGCTAGGAAAATGGAGGGCAGCATTATATTCCTGCT